GCCAGTCCCTGTGCTCCTCAGAGTCTCAGCAGGAGGCCAGTCCCTGTGCTCCTCAGAGTCCCAGCAGGAGGTCAGTCCCTGTGCTCCTCAGACTCCCAGCAGGAGGCCAGTCCCTGTGCTCCTCAGAGTCCCAGCAGGAGGCCAGTCCCTGTGCTCCTCAGAGTCCCAGCAGGAGGCCAGTCCCTGTGCTCCTCAGAGTCCCAGCAGGAGGCCAGTCCCTGTGCTCCTCAGAGTCCCAGCAGGAGGCCAGTCCCTGTGCTCTTCAGACCCTGTAGACCCAGGACTGAGTCTGTCTGATGTAAGACATGAAATATTTCCTCTCTTTTCTCTCGTCTTCATCGACTTGATCTGTTTCTATAAAAGTAAATCTGGTTTGAAAGTGCCGTTTATAATGAGGCCTCACTGTCACAACACAACACAGGAAAACTCTCCCTCTCTCTTTCTCTCTCTCTCTCTGGTCTCTCTCTCTGGTCTCTCTCTGGTCTCTCTCTGGTCTCTCTCTGGTCTCTCTCTGGTCTCTCTCTGGTCTCTCTCTGGTATCGCTCTGGTATCTCTCTGGTCTCTCTCTGGTCTGACAGAAGCGAGGCAACCAGTATGCGCCATCGGCGATGTATAGGCACACACACATATGTACATACAAATGCTAAAAACAGCACCCAAACTCTCCCTGTCTCTTTCTCTCTCTCTCTCTGGTCTCTCTCTGTGTGTGTGTGTGTGTGTGTCCTTGAGCTGAGAGATGTATCGACCGCACACTCAACGCATTAAGCGGCTTTTCACATCTGAGCAGCAGGAGTCACACAAACACACACAGACACACACACAGAGGTGTGTGTGTGTGTATTTGTATGTGTGTAGGTGTGCGTTTGGGTGCTGTTTTTAGCATCTGTATGTACATATGCGTGTGTATGTATGTGTGTGCGTGTATATGTGTGTCTGTGTGTATTTGTGTGTGTTTGCCTATGTGTGTGTATTTGTGTGTGTTTGCCTATGTGTGTGTATTTGTGTGTGTATGCCTATGTGTGTAAGTGTGCGTCTGGGCTCCTTTGTTTGCAAATGCGTGTATGTATATATGTGTGTATTTGTGTGTAAATGTGTGTCTGTATGTGTTGTGTGCATATGTATTTGTGTGTGTATATGTATATGTGTGTTAATGTGTGTGTGTCTCTGTGTGTATAAGTTTGTCGTTTACATGTGTCCCTCGTCTCAGTCTGATGGTGCTTTCAGACGCCAACGCTGAAACGCTGAAGCCCCGCCCTCCAGACGCACATTCTCTAGTTTTCAGACGCAGAGGACTTCACACCAGAACGTCCTGACGCGCGCCGGAAGTAGCCGGCTCTGATGCTAACAGAGCTATGCTAGCGGCTTCTTGTGCACAGATCTTCTCCAATATGTAGCTTTGCGGCGTGTCTTTGAACAGAGACATTCCACGGGCTTTATATAACAGCAGTATGTGTTCACGGAGGTGACTTTATATAATAGCAGTATGTGTTCACGGAGGTGACTTTATATAACAGCAGTATGTGTTCACGCTAATGTCCCCGTGAACACTTTGCTGCTCTCTGATTGGTTGTCGCACGAACGTCCCAGGGAAAGGATGAGCAGAATCCATCTCCTGTGGGCGTCGATTTTTCGCTCCTGCTCCTTCTTTTTCACTTTCCCGCCAAGTCCGTACGTCTCTACTGAACAGTCCGTGCGTCTCTACTGAACAGTCCGTGTGTCTACTGAACAGTCCGTACGTCTCTACTGAACAGTCCGTACGTCTCTACTGAACAGTCCGTACGTCTCTACTGAACAGTCCGTGCGTCTCTACTGAGCAGTCCGTGTGTCTACTGAACAGTCCGTGCGTCTCTACTGAACAGTCCGTACGTCTCTACTGAACAGTCCGTACGTCTCTACTGAACAGTCCGTGCGTCTCTACTGAGCAGTCCGTGTGTCTCTACTGAGCAGTCCGTGTGTCTACTGAACAGTCCGTGCGTCTCTACTGAACAGTCCGTGCGTGTCTACTGAACAGTCCGTGCGTGTCTACTGAACAGTCCGTGCGTCTCTACTGAACAGTCCGTGCGTCTCTACTGAACAGTCCGTGTGTCTCTACTGAACAGTCCGTGCGTCTCTACTGAACAGTCCGTGCGTCTCTACTGAACAGTCCGTGCGTCTCTACTGAACAGTCCGTGCGTGTCTACTGAGCAGTCCGTGTGTCTACTGAACAGTCCGTGCGTCTCTACTGAACAGTCCGTGCGTGTCTACTGAACAGTCCGTGCGTCTCTACTGAACAGTCCGTGAGTCTCTACTGAACAGTCCGTGCGTCTCTACTGAACAGTCCGTGTGTCTCTACTGAACAGTCCGTGCGTCTCTACTGAACAGTCCGTGCGTCTCTACTGAGCAGTCCGTGTGTCTACTGAACAGTCCGTGTGTCTCTACTGAACAGTCCGTGCGTCTCTACTGAACAGTCCGTGCGTCTCTACTGAACAGTCCGTGCGTCTCTACTGAACAGTCCGTGCGT